GGGGGTTGTTGTCCAGGTCCTGGTCCTTGACCCGGTCCTTGCCCTCCGTCTGTGCCTCCGGCCGGTGCCGCTGATGGTGCCTGTGGTAATACTGGAGATGCCGGTGCTTGTGGTTTCGTTGCCGCCGGCTTTGCCGCGGCACCTACAAAAACGAGGACGGAAGAATGATGGATGAACAAACGATAAAAAAGGGACACAAGTGGTACAGAAAGAAGGGGCCGGGACGGTGCGGTCATGTAGCGGCAGGGTAGGGTCCGGCTGGATGCAGTGTGTCGATGCATGGGTCGATCCATGGATCGAGGTGAATTCGGTGAACTTGGGCTAGATGGTAGCAATACAACTTTTATTTGTCGTCGTCATCTCCTCTCCGCTATTGGTGCCGTCGTGCCCGCGCCGCCCAACGTGAACGAAGCCGTGTGCAGTGCTGTCACCGCGTGCATGTTGTTGTGGCGGCATCCACATTCGGCAGTATCGAGCCCTGTTCGTGTGCGGGGTGTATGGGTGCTTGGGCTCATCGGTCAGTACCTGCCGCTACGTTTGGTGCTGGTTTATCGCTCGCTACAGATTTGGTTGCCTTTCCCTCACTGTCATCACCCTCTCGATTTCTACCTGTGACAGCCTCGATAGACGTCATGCATGCGCCATTGTCCTCCGCGCATTGCATTACCCCCGTCTTTACCTCCTCAACTATGGTCTTCATTCCTCGGCCTAACTCACGTATAGCGTCTTTCTCGTGTTGCGTCAGTTCTGTGTTGTCATCCGTGGCATTTGCATGCGGCGTGGCCCCGTCAAGTTCTTCTGGTTTTTTGCTACATGTGCTTTGTATTGCGGGACTTGCAAATCTGTCAGTCAAGCTCTCCTTGCTCTCTAACCATTTCTTAATCATTTTCTCCATTTGTAATTCCCCGATTTTTATGTCTTCAAACACTCCCTGCCCACATTTATTTTTGTTTATTAAACCACTCCCTAGCCCTGGCTCCATGTCTTTCACAATGTGCCATGCATAATCTATTCCCATTTGACTTCTGCATTTAGATGCCAGCAATATGTACATAAATACATTTACTATTGCGCATCTTATATGTTCCTTCAACGCTGCATTATTAGGGTCGGTAGTGTGCGAACCGCCGGACTGCGTACCCCACCCATTCATGAAATATAATGCTCCTGTCATGAGTGTGCACATTAGTCTATCCGCGACTTTCTTTGCCATAAGTATGCCTTGTTTGCTCTCACTCCAATAACCCGCGTTCAAACAATTAGCTGCATACTGGTCTAGGTTCTCGTCGTCCAAATGTTCCACAAATTCGTCTAGTAGCACTGTTATATCTTTCCATAGGGTACTCTGCATTGTGCACAAGGAACATATATGTGTGTGCATAATTGGCCACTGCACCCCTCACGTCCATGTGCAATAATATGTGCCCATACTGTGGCACGTGCTGCACGTAATGTATCTTCCAATTGTAGTATTAATATAGAATTAGTGCACGGTCGCATGCGTACAATGATATATAGCGGCATGGATACATACTATCATATATAGAGGCTGTTATAAGTACACGACGCCGCCCGTGTGATTGTGAGTAAATTACCTTATACTTCTCCTTGTTATCAACTAGACCCCTTGTCAGCACATAATGTGCTAATAAATGTCCCAACGGCGCATACGACATGTTGTCCTTATCATGAATTAATAGTTTGCAACGGATGCAAGCATGATCTCTCAGATAACGGCTTGAGTATAATATCGGCACAATATTCTCTTATGTATTATTCAGATTCTTCGAGAATGGAACATGTCTTGCAGTATAGGGTGCCTGCAGCAACATCTCACATGAACAAACTCTCCTCTATCTGAATGTAATCACACACCCCATAAATCGTGGGGTGTGGAAGTAGGAAAAAAAGAAAACAACAAAAAACAAAAAAGAAAAAGACAGACAAAAATAGAAAAAAGGTACACTACACTACCTTACACACACAACGCGGCACGAATAGCACCCGGCTGCCGCCCTGGGTCCACTAAACGCCTGTCACACACACTGTGTCTCTGTGTGCGTACACCTAAAACGAACAACAACATAGTCACAACATCAAATTCTTCTGCCGTCGTACACTCAGCTACTTCGTCGAATCGCTTTTACAATGGGCCACGTTTGCTCGGAGAGACAATTCTTCTCCTTCTTACCCTCGGCACAATGCTTACTCGGCTACTTCGTCGAATCTGTCTTGCACTCGGCCGCGTTGGTCGACGCGTATGCTCGGAGAGACAATCTCTGCTCCTTCTTGCACGCGGCTACAATGCGGTTTACGCGGCCAGTGTGCTCGGACAGACAATCTCTCCGTCCTTTCTTACATTCGGACAATCCGTCGTCGAATCGGTCTTACACTCGGTTGCTTCGTCGAATCGTTGTTACAATCGGCCGCGTTTGCTCGGATAGACAATCTGTCCTCCTTTCTTACACGCGGCCACGTCGTCGAAGCCGTCTTACTCGGTCGCGTTTGCTCGGAGAGACAATCTCTCCTCCTTCGTACACTCGGCTACTTCGTCGAATCGTGCTTACACTCGGCTACGTCGTCGAACTGCTTCACTCGGACAGTCGTGTTTACGCGGCCGCGTGTGCTCGGAGAGACAATCTCTCCCTCCGTTCTTACACTCGGCTACTTCGTCGAACTGCGTCACTCGGACAGTCGTGTTTACGCGGCCACGTGTGCTCGGAGAGACAATCTCTCCTCCTTTCTTACACTCCACGACAATGCTGTACCCGGCCACGTTTGCTCGGAGAGACAATCCTCCTCCTGTCTTACACTCGGCCACTTCGTCGAATCGTGGTTACACTCGAGCCGCGTTGGTCGACGCGTGTGCTCGGAGACACAATGCTGCTCCTTCTTACACTCGGCTACTTGGTCGAATCGGTGTTGCACGTGGCCGCTTTGGTCGACGCGTTTGCTCGGAGAGACAATCTCTCCTTATACGCGAAGGCGTAGTCGCATGCTATGTGTGTTCTGCACTATACCCGTAGCATGCACGTTCTCAGCTTGTAATAATTAACTTCACATAAAGGAGAATACTACCCCGTCATAG